AGCCTGTGAGGCATCCTGCGAGGCAAGCAGCATGGCGCCAAATGGCACCACCTAGCCCTGATGCCTCCGTGTGCAGCTAGCGTGACAACCAACGTGCGCCTTACAAAGCGCCTTAGCCCGATTATCCCTGATCCCTGGCCCATTGGCCCACGGTCCATGAGCTCACGGGCCCACGACCCACTAGAACTTATGAGAGATTAATTGAATAAAAACAATTCTTGGCTTGCCAATGGCAAGCCTTGAACAAAGAACCTTTTAAAACACTAAAATTTTAACTTTCCACCACGCTACTAAGGATTTCTGAAAAATACCAGTAGTTAATAAATACGTAGTTTTAAAACTCATTTTTGAAAAGCGGTTTTGACCAAAAAATCAATAGGTGTTGCATTCAATTCCCATACAAAAAAAGAAAAGAAAAGAAAAGAAAAAGAAAAAGAAAAAATAGGAAAAAGAAACAACACAATCCTGTAAGGAATATGTGAAGACAAAGAAGAATATCCTATATCTTTGTTTTCTTTTTCTTATAAATGCTAGATTTGGAATTTTCATGTAAAAACTGAAAAGGATGGACGAGTGCATTCATAGGAAGTTAGAGCCTCTTATTGGATAAAATAAGAGAAATAGATTCAGATAGTTTGACCATGAGTGGTAGAGGCCAGAAAATGCACTAGTTATAGGTGAAAAGATTATAATTAGCAAGGCGGACTGCAAGTAGACGTAGAGAACTTGGTTGGAGCCAATTAAGAAGGATATGATAGTCATTAACTTAAGGGAAGAGATAATCCAAATAGAATTGAATGGAAGATTAGGATTCATATCATTTACTCCAAAGGTAAGAGATAAAGGCTTTGTAGTAGTTGTTCTTGTTGTATGTAAAAGGATGAATAATCATTAAGAAAGAAAAAAAAGCCTTGATGATCATTAAACTTGCCAAAGAACTTACCTAAAGGTCAAATGTTCAAAGAAATATATTATGAAATGGTCATTGCAGAATAAGAGTTTTCATACCTCTGGTGCCATATAACCAAGAGTTCCTGTCTCCCCAGTCATGTCGTTGGGATTTTGCGCCTCAACGCGAGCAACACCAAAATCAGCAATTTTTACGGTTCTTGTTTTATTCAGAAGCATATTCTCTGTTTTCACATCTCGATGCACAATTTTCTTCAAGTGAAGATAACACAACCTACAAAATACAAGCACGCTCAGTTGTAAGAGTTGGATTAATACGGACGTGAATATACAGACATAAAAGGTTAAAAGTTATTAATGACAGCAAAGGAACAAATCGGAGAAAGTATTGATGTGTTCATATTTGTATTAGCCTAAAGTCTTTGAATCCGACTCTTCATTCTATTCTTCAAGTATCAATTGGAACTCTCAAATCCCTAAATATAAATTGATTTGATGTTTTACAATTTATGAATATAGAATTTATTGAATAAGAAGAGTTGTATTATGTTAAACGAATACTGGTCTTCAGGTAAGACATTTTTTACTTTTTAATAGCACTTAAATTCATAATTAGAAATTATTTCTTTATAGTGATGATGTATAAATATGTAACATAAATATTTGGTTTAAAAACTGATTTAAGACTCTTAAGAATCTCAATAAGTATATAATCTAAAAAAAAAGAGATCAAAAGATAATATCAACATGAATTAAAAGAGATTAAAATGTAAATGAATATTTGACAAACAAAATCAAACATTGTAAATTTTCCTATCTGTTTCTTTTAATTATACACAAATAGTAAAAGTTTGAATGGCTAGATAGACAAATAAATACTGAACGTTGATAATTATTTGATCGACTTCCACACCTACAAACAACTAATGATTCCGTAATATTAATGAGGCTGATGCTCACCCTCTTGCAAGATCAAGAGCCAGCTGGACAACAACTTTGAAGGCTAGCTTTCTTCTCCTGTTCTTTATAAGGTATGTTTTTAGTGTGCCCCCAGCAAGGTACTCAACAACAACACAACAAACACTGGTTGGCATCCCGAGAAGACCATTCGCAGTTTGAATAGTTAGACCAGTCGCACCCATCGTAGCTCCTATAAACTGTCAAAAGGTTTCACATATTTGAAATATTTATTTGAGAGAATAGCCATAGAGAGGAAAGATAATAAGGGAAATAAATGCAATTGAATGGAAAAGATGCCCTAATTAGATTCTGAATTAGTGGTTGATGCAAGACAATTACATAACACAAAAATATGTAATGGGAAAAATACGATTTCTATGCCTTGCCATATGCTCGAATGCACTACTTCAACTACACAATAAGATGTTTCAGCTAATTAAGAGCATCAGTAAGTCATTTTTAAGCGTGTATATTAAAACGATGTGCGAGCTCACTATGTATTAGTTTAAGCATCTGGTGTTGGTTTTGGAAGTGTGAAGCCCGAAACCTGAAACAAAACTGCGAGTCTGAAAATTCTCGGGTCGGTCGACCGATATGGTGACCTTGGTTGACCGAATCGACTGTAGGAAAACAACCCAGGAACTCACTCTGGCCGGTCGACCGAAGCTTGATGTCGGTCGACCGAGAGTGGTCATCCGGTCGACCGAAGGTGATGGTCCGGTCGGCTGAAAAGGTGCACAAAACCCTACAGGAAATTGGCGTTCTGGTCGGTCGATCGACACGCATGGTCCGGTCGACCGAAAGTGGTTTTTTTAATTTCCTAAATTGTTTAGGATTCTGTTTTGGGCTTGGATACTATATATACCTAATACTTTTTAGGGTTATTAGAACACGTGAAAAAGAGGGTTTTGGGAGGATTCTTTCAGAGAGATCTTAGAGAGATAAAAAACTATTTGTGGGCATTATAATCTTCTTCAATTAATCTAAGAATTATGTGGTATGGCTCCCGAGGACGTAGGCACATTGTCGAATCTCGTTAAATCTGGTGTGTTCTTTTTTGTTTATCTTTCATGCAATTTTTTCTTTTATTTGGGGTGATTTTCCTACTTGCTAAACTCATAGCACAAGGTCCGGAAGGGCACAGGTCCGATTGATTGTTTTGAATCCCCAACATTTGGTATTAGAGCTTCGTACAAAAGATGTGTGCAAGAACCATGGCAGAGGAAAGCAAATCAAAAATCGAGAAGTTTGACGGATCAGACTTCACCTACTGGAAGTCACAGATAGAGGACTATTTATACCAGAAAGATCTTTACCGTTTATTGATGGGCAAGGCTAAGGGAAAGAAGAAGGGGGAATCAGACGAGGAGTGAGAAATACTAGATAGGAAGGCTTTAGAGTAAATCTGGTTGTCGCTCGCCAAATCGATCGCCCATAATATATTAAAGGAGAAGACGACGACGGGGCTTATGGAAGCGCTCGTGAAGATGTACGAGCAACCGTTAGCCACAAACAAGGTGCATCTCGTCAAAACGCTCCTCAACCTCAAGATGACAGAATGATGCTCCTTCACGATACACCTCAGCGAGTTCAACACGATTGTTGATCAGCTTATCTCCGTGGACATCACGTTTGATGACGAAGTGCAGGCCCTGCTGATTCTATCACAGTTACCGGATAGCTAGACAGGTTGTGTGACCATAATTACCAACTTGGCGGGGAAGGAAAAGTTGAAGCTGAGCGAGGTTGTTAGCATGATTCTATCCGAGAATGTTAGAAGAAAATCATCCGAATCAAAAGGTCCAGGTTCAGCCCTAAATCTCGAACAGAGAGGCCGAAGCCAGAAGAAGGGTAACCAAAACAAGAATCGGTCGAAGTCAAACAAGAAGAGGTCGAACTCGAAAGTTAGGCCTATCAAAGGGAAGTGTCGGAACTGCAGCCAGGAGGGCCATATATTTTCAGTCTGTAAAGCACAAAAGAATAATGCGAATGAGTAGGAGGCTCATATCGTTCAAGATGCCTTGATCCTTGTTATGGGCAATAATTTTGATTCATGGGTAATTGATTCATGAGCCTCATTCCACGCCACTGCTAATAGGAAGCTTCTTTAGAACTATGTAGCAGGGCACTTTGGGAAAGTGTACTTAGGGGACAACGAGCCTTGTAGTATTGTTGGAAGAGGCGACGTACAGATTCAGATGAAGGGCTCTAAGTGGAATCTGAAGAATGTCAGACACGTACCGAAGCTAAAGAGAAATATTGTTTCGGTGGGCCAGCTTGGAGCAGAAGGCTATGTTTCAACATTCACCGGGGATTTATAAAAAATCTCCAGTGATACTATGGTGGTTTCCTGAGGCAACAAAACCGAAACTCTCTAACTCACTTCACATGTGAGTGACACCCTCGCAATTGTAGCAGGCAAAGAGAGTGCGAATCAGTGGCACAATAGGCTAGGATACATTAGTGAGAAGGGCATGAAGATTCTACACTCACAGGAAAAGCTAACCGGCATCAATTCAGTTGAAGTTAGTGTTTGCGAGGACTGCATCTACGGGAAGCAGAAGAGGGTCGGCTTTCAGAAGGGTGGAAGGCCACCTAAAGCTCAGAAGCTAGAGCTTGTTCATACAGATGTATGGAGCCCAGCTAGCATGTCTTCTTTTGGCAGTTCGACGTACTATGTCACATTTATCGACGATTAATCGAGTAAGGTATGAGTATACTTCATGAAGCACAAGTCAGAGGTGTTCGGGATCTTCAAGAAGTGAAATTTCATGGTAGAGAACAAGGCAGATCTGAAGGTGAAGTGTCTGAGATCGGACAATGGTGGAGAATACGAGCTGAAAGAGTTTAACAGGTTCTGTGCTCTAAATAGGATTCGTTTGGAGAGGACTACTCCAGGGATACCGTAACAGAACAGCGTTGCAGACATGATGAATAGGACATTGACGGAACGTGCGAGGAGCATGCGTCTACATGTAGGTCTACCCAAGACGTTTTATGTGGACGTGGTGTATATGACAGCTTATTTGATTAATCATAGGCCATCAGTTCTATTGGATTTTGGGATTCTAGAAGATGTTTAGAGTGGCAAGAAGGTTAATCTCTCACACTTGCGAGTATTTGGCTACGTGGCATATGTTCATATTAGTGATCATGTTAGGGACAAGCTAGAAGCTAAGTCACAGAAGTCTACATTCATTGGATACGACATTGATGAGTTTAGGTATCATCTTTGGGATGAGAAGAATAGAAAAATCATCAGGAGAATATATGTGATATTCAATGAGGAGGTGATGTACAAGGACAAGGACAATGTCAAGGATAGCCAAAGCAGTTGGGAGTAGTACTACAGATGTAGGTGGATTCGAGTACATAGATTTGGAGGAACTTCCAGATGGGAGAGACAACGTTAGTTCTGACCGAAGAATAGAGGAGACTCCATGTGCAGAGATGACTACCCATGACGTGGAGCTTAGGAGGTCATCTAGGATACCTAAACTGAATTCCAGATATCTCTCATCACTAGACTATTTACTTTTGACAGATAGCGGAGAACCAGAGTGCTATGAGGAGGCTATGCAAGTGAGTAAATCATAGCAGTGGGAGCATGTGACGTAAAAAGAGATGGATTCTCTACACACTAATAAGACATGAGAGTTAGCCCAACTACCTACACATAAGAAAGTCTTACATAAGAAATGGGTCTATGAGGTCAAGCGGGAGAATGATGGAAGCAAGAGGTACAAGGCCAGGTTAGTTATGAAGGGGTTCCAACAGTGGAAAGAAGTGGATTATACAAAGATATTTTTTCCTGTTGTGAAGCTTACAACCATTAGAGTGGTGTTGAGCTTAGTACCTGCAGAATATCTCTACCTTGAGCAGTTAGATGTGAAGATTGCCTTTCTTCATGGTGACTTGGATGAAGAAATCTACATGAAGTAACCTGTTAGCTTTATAGAAGAAGAAAAGAAAGAGATGGTGTGTAAGCTCAAGAAGAGCTTGTACGGATTGAAACAGGCTCCGAGACAATGGTATAAGATGTTCGACAATTTTATATAGAGTAATGGCTATGGAAGATGCAATTCAGGTCATTGTTGCTACTTTAAAAGGTTCGAGTCCAGCTATATCGTGTTATTATTGTATGTTGATGACATGTTAGTTGCAGGATCGAGTTTAGAGGAGATAAACAATTTGAATAAGCAGTTGACGAAGGAGTTTGCTATGAAGGATCGGGGTGTAGCGAAGCAAATTCTTGGGATGCGAATCAGTAGAGATGAAGCTGAAGAGACGTTGAGATTGAGTCAATCTGAATACATCGAGAACGTACATCAGAGGTTCGACATGGAGAATGCTAAGGTTGTTAGTACGCACATTGGAAGCTAATTCAAGTTATCTGAGGAGAAATTACTCAAGACAGACACAAAAAAGGAGCACATGAGCAAGGTGCCATACTCATCAGTCATTGGTAGTCTTATGTACGCGATGGTTAGCACGAGGCCGGATATCGCCCATGTGGTGGGAGTTGTAAGCAGGTTTGCTAGCAATCCAGGAAAGCAGTATTGGGAGACCGTGAAGTGGATATTGTGTTACTTGAGAGGGACTACAGATATGCCATTGTGTTTCAGGAGGAAAGAGTTAGTACTACGGGGATACGTGGATGCATATTTCACCGATGATCATGATACGAGGCGAAGCACCACAGGTATGTTTATACTTTAGCGTCGATATCAGTGAGCTGGTGTAAAACCCCAAAAATTTGTGATATATATATATATATATATTTTTCTAGTATTTAAAATATTATATTATATTTTATTAATATTTTTCCTAATTTCTGGAATTTTCTGAGTTTTTGAAATAAATAAATAATAAAATATATAGTCTTGTATTTATTAATTCTGCTAAATATTAATTTATGGTTTAGTGATTTTTTATATATAATCACTGGTGACTAATATTATTAATGACCATGTTATATTTGATGTAAACCTGAGCATAGTACAATAGTATATAAATATTAATAAAAAGATTTTTGGTTGTTAATTAATTATTAATATGATTCAGAATATTATGTGAAATTTTCGAATTTTTCCCTCTCTTAATTTCCTCCCATTTGAATTCCTTCCATATTTTTTCCCTAATTAATTTCTCAATCAATTCCAAAATCACGTTTAATTCCTAC